TGGAGCAACCTGCTCTAGTGGAAGGTGTCCCTGCCCGTGGCAGGGGCTGGAACTGGATGAGCTTCCAACCCAAACCATTCCATGATTCTTTGATCTTGTGTCTGTTTGAACGACATTCAACACTGCTGGTTGCTGGTACAACATTGTTTATAGCTAGTGATGAATATTTCCTAATTAATCACTGATGTTAAAGGGCATGGTTGCATGTGTGGATCAGCCCTTGAGATGACAAGGGACCAGTTTTAGATGTTTTGCAGGCTGTAATTGTAGTCCAAAGGATCTACTAAATGAGAGAGGGAGACTTGGTAATTCTCAGTTGTTTCTTAGGGGCTTTCCCAGAGGTCTTGCTCTGTCTTTAGCTCCGTGGTATTGAAGCCACTTTCTAAACTCCACTTAATAGATACATCTCCAGTCTATATGTAATTGTTTAAAATAGCCTTGTGGGCCTGATTTTCGGATTATGTTGGTGATAAGCAACAAAAGAAGAAATAGTTTTGACTTGCAATGACAGGCTGTCCCTCTTGTGGATTCTGAACCTATTGGGCATCCCTGTTCACAGGAGGTTTTGCTCTTCAAGCTCATAGAATCCCAGCCTGGTTTGGGTTGGAAGGGACCTTAAAGCTCACCCAGTTCCAACCCCCTGCCATGGACAGGGACACCTTCCACTAGAGCAGGTTGCTCCAAGCCCCTGTGTCCAACCTGGCTTTGAATTCCCAAGGAACTTGTCCAGGTTCTAGATGATACACAGGGCAGGACTATCACGGAGGCTCTGATCTCCAGAGCCCCAGCACAGGGCTGTCCCCACTTGACACTAAGGGCTGCAGAGGAGGGGAGCATCACTGGGCTTATTGCAGAGCCCTGAGACATACAGGCAGAACTTGTATTTCAGCTTTGACCCATGTGTGTCTACTGTGGCTATTCTTTTTGTCCAGAGGCATGTCTCATTGCTGTTTCTCTTATTAACTCATATTCTAAACATCATCTGAGAAAAGTGGGGAGTTAATCCTAAAGAGGCCTGGACAGGTTTGGATTGAAGAACTCACCATTTAACCCTTCATTAAATGTTCAAGTCTATCTCGGGTACTGAGCATTCATGTGCTTGAAAACCTTACTTAACATAAGTAAGAGTGGCTTAGCAGGAACGCAGACAGAGCGCCTTGAGCTCAGCAAACAGGGTTATTATTTCCCTGAGAAGCTGTTAGACATGCACTTGGGTAGTAGCCACTCGGTGTGGTAGCAATCATGAAAGGGAGTTAAGCTGAGTATTTGCATGGGCAGGAGGTAGAGAGATACAATCACACGTTAAATTAGACCAGTGTCCGTAGATGTCTACAGTCTTGGTACACAAAACATTCTAGCACAGATACATATGTTTGACTGTATATTCAGTGTACGTTCCGTGGCCCTGGTTGAAGTATCGTGTGTACTTTGCTGTGCACACGGAGATTGAAGGCTTTTCGGAGGCTCTCCGAGCTTGAAGAACAGGGGATACGTTATGTGAAGCCGTGAGCTTTAAGGAATGCCCACAAACTCAATGTAAGGTACAATTTCATCTCTTTCAAGACCTCTGAAAGGCTGGAATGGGCATGCAGAGCAGTGTGTTTAGCTCAAAGCAGGGTAGGAGTGTTCGATCCCGGTCCTTGAGCCGTATAATGTATTCCTGTTTGCAGAGTTTAAATATCTGTCATTCAGCAACCCCCAAGCACATCTAAACAGGCCCTTTGAGTTGCTGCACATTCCTTAACAAAGTGATGAAAATAGCTTCAATGTACATGATTGTGCAGCTTAAGTCCTGATCTAAAAAGAAGAAGAGAGAAAGAAAAGCCTCTTGCTTGAATAGGCAAAAAAATGTCATTGTGTAACACGATGGGTTTGAGGGCTCTTGGCTTGCAGCATCCAGGCTTCCTGTTTGTGAAACATCTCTCTGTGCTGCCTTCCCCTGGTTATGAGCAGATCTGGGCAGAGAAAGCGACCTCTGTTTTCGGGAGGGCTTCAAATATTTGTCAGTTTGGTTGTGTTTTGCTTGCAGGTGATGATTAAGCTGTGTGTGTGCATCTACTGGTGTGAACGCGCAGGGGTGCGTGGTGTGCGCACATGCGCCTGAAATACACAACTGTGTAAGAGCCCAAAACATCCTTCTGCCTGTATGGTTGGGATAGAAAGGGGGGAGGATTAGGAAACCACAGTGAATCACACTGCTTGGGAAGAGCTGTGGCTATAGAAAAAGTTAATGTAGATGTTCACATAAACTTGTCAGAGGGTGTTTGCAACAAAACCATGTAGAAAATGTGATGTGTTTTCCTGCTGGCCCGTTATCCCTTCCTTTTGAAAGGTATCACGTGTAGTGGGATTGCTGCAATGTATCTCACCCAACAGCCTGCTTCGGATTTGAGCTTTCAAAACATGTCCTGCCAAAGGAATTGTATGAATTGGTGTCAGTTTACCTGGGAATGGCTCATTTTGGTTCCTTAAAGAACCTCTTGTAGGAGAAAGGTTTTAAACCAGTGTCTCCAAGAATGCCTGGTTATTAGGCAATGTAATATCTCAAATACTCACTTCTTTTGACAAAGTGTTCACTTTGCCCCATATTCTTTAGCATTTGGGAGAAGTAATAGAGGGTTTAAATCGTGTTTCTTTAAACTTAAAATGTCAGCTTGTTCGACAGCTCTATGGCTGTTACCTGTATGGCTAAATCAGTCATTCTATGGATGGAGCGGCTCTGCTAGCATGCACAGCTTGGAGACTTCCCAAAGCCTGTGCTGATTGGGGTTGGTAGAGCTCCTGGGAAATGGCAAAGCTGGGCACAAGTCATTAGGTAGGAAAGATGCAGCCAACAAACTGGTAGGAGGCTTAGAAAACTCATTCATTATTTAATATCCTTAGCAAACAGACTGCAATTTACTTCCAGCAGCCTGCTCAAACAAAGCTATAAATTACCAGCTTCGAGAAGTTAATCTGGAAGGGTGTTGAGTACTTTGGCCATATCTCTGCTGAGTACTGGGGTCAGGAGGCAGGGAAGCCAAAGGCAGAAGACCACCTATGCAGCGTGGCTCTGTCAGCCACTTGAAACCTGTGGCACCTCATCCTTTGGTTTTGTTTTGTTCTTAGGCTGTGTCTACTACGTGTGCATTGTGTTCAGTGAAGGGAAGTGGTTGAGGGGAGTAACAACACCCATGCTGAGCTTCCAGAATATGACTTAGCAAAAGCTAGCCCGAGTAGATGTGTAGTTACCTGTTCTATTTTAGACTTCAGTGACTTATATGAGTGTCTAGAAGGAGAAAGCTACTACCAGGATGTTTTCCTTTGCACTGTTCCCCACTAACAGAGACAACAAACAAGGTGAAGCTGCAGTCATTCCCTTTGTGTATCGCTGGTGTAAAGCTGCTCCTTTCTCTTTCTCTTTCCTCCTGTGCAGGAAGACCCAGCACAGCTCTTTGGACCAGAGCTCCCCACCCCAAAGTGGCGTATCCGGCACCTACAATCACCCTGTTCTGGGGATGTATGATTCCAAAGATGACTTCCCACTCAGAAAAACAGGTAGCTCTTGCACTGATTCTCTGTGTTGCTCTGTCTTTGCTGTCACACTTGGTCCTCTTTATTTTGCTGTTTTAAAGACGTGATGTGACTGAAAAGCTGTATTTCAGGGGGTAGTTTATTCAAGAGACACTCACTCTATCGTGCTGCCCCTTCGTCTGTCACTATGCTCAATGTGAGAGGGAGCCCTGAGTTGCTTTGGGGTGTGCAGGCAGGAGACAGGGGAGTTGTGTGTCAAAGTTTGTGAGATGTTTTCACAAAGTCAAAGCTAATACAGAGATCTGGGTGTCTGAAGTCCAAGTAATGTTTTGCTGAGTGAGAAAAGGACCAAGAAAAGTTCATTTCTTCTGGGATTTGCATTTTATATACAAGTTTATACTTAAATAAATCTGTTTCTGCCAGTCAAAGCGGCGGGACTTCCTGCAAAGGGGTTTGGTTCACACCTAGACAGTTATTTCTCAGTTAGGTTTTTCCCTGCACGGTGGCTTAGCAGGTCAGTTATTTCTCAGCTATATATTATGTAAACCAGGTTGTTTTGGTTGGCTCTCATCCTCAGCTCCATATTGCATGCCTAAGCCAACACAGCCTCAGCTTCGAACCTGGCCAGCTCGTGATCCTCAGCTGCTTTCTTTGGGGAGTCATAGAACCCCAGCCTGGTTTGGGTTGGAAAGGACCTTAAAGCTCACCCAGTCCCAACCCCCTGCCACGGGCAGGGACACCTTCCACTAGAGCAGGTTGCTCCAAGCCCCTGTGTCCAACCTGGCCTTGAACACTGCCAGGGATGGGGCAGCCACAGCTTCAAGTGGATGTAAGAGGAAAGCAGGGGTATGGTTGAACTTCACAGCTTCTGCAGGTGCTGCTGAGCTGTTTCTGAGGTATGCTTTGTGGACCTCCAGATGTGGATAGATGAGCACCAGGAGTCAAAAAGTGTGTCATCCTTTGATAAGGAATGCTGACGGTGTGTTGACCCAATCTCCTTGTGGATTTACTGCAGTCTCTGCTCAAATCAGCTGCCCTAAATCAGCTCCCGAGAGCTGCAGCAGCTCCTTTTCCTTCTGGGAGAGGGATGTAGGTGTTCTCATGGCACTTCTCCTAATAGTTAGAAGTACAGCAGGTCTTAGGTGTAGTGAATGGTTTTAACACAGTTCTTGTTACCTGTGGAAACTTGGAGGTTTTTCTTCTTTCACCATCTGATGAGAAAGAATACACCTCCACACTGCTGCCTTGTACCTCCTGCCTTCCAGTTCTGTGCTTTCAAAGTCCTTTTTGGGAACTTCTCGCTATGGACCAGAGCACCTGGCCTGGATCTGGGGATGGATTCCCATCTGCTGTGCCTTCCCCGTTACCGGGAATGGTGGGTTGGGTGACAAGTGCCACACACTTCAGCTGCACAAGAAGTCAATCAGAACTTGGCAAGACCTGCCCCGGATATGGGATTTTTTCCTGGGCATACCCTGTATCTGTGGTGGTGGTAGTTTTGATTGTGACCTTTCTGGAGGACTCTAGAAGTAGAGCTAAGAAAACTGGCTTTGCTGAAGGGTAGAGCATCCTCTAATCTCTGCTTCTAGGTAATCAAACACCCCATTAGGTGTGTGGTAGGTGCTGCTGTATCATCAGTGCCCAGGACAGATGAAGTGATGCTGTCTGGGCTTTGGGACTTTTGTAGGGAAGGAGAGGACTGATGGAGGAATATCCTCAGAGAAGACTTCCTTCAGCTCTAAAGCTGGTGAAGCACAAAGATGTGCTCAGTGTCTATGTCTGGAGGAGGAATGCAAGCCCAGGCTGCTAGCAGCTGCTGCTGCTGTTCGCTCCTCTTCTGCTGAAGGCTTTCAGGCTCCTCTGGGAAATCACAGCACTTCCATGCAGGGAAACATCCCTTGGCACCATTCCTGTTGCTCAGAGCCTGTGGACAGCGTGATTCCAAAAGATTTTTAGCTCTTTCCTACACCTTATAAATGCAGGTGATCCATTTCTAGTGTGGTAGCATTCCCACAGTGTAAGTGAGCTTTGACATGCTCCCGAACTCCCATCTCATCACTTCAGGGGACCTTAGTTCATAGAATCCCAGCCTGGTTTGTGTTGGAAGGCACATTAAAGCTCATCCAGTTCCAACCCCCTGCCATGGGCAGGGACACCTTCCACTAGAGCAGGTTGCTCCCCTCTGTCAGGTTAAAGCCATTTCCCCTTGTCCTGTCCCTACAGACCCTTGTCCAGAGTCCCTCTGAGATTTCTTCTAAGCTTTTCTTGTCAGCTTGGGTTTGAGGATCAGCCACTCTTCCTGCTCCCAGTGTTATGGAAGGGGATTTCTGCAGAGCTCAGCCCTTTGCTGTGACCCAAACTGAGCTCTCAGTAAGACTCTGGCTGAATAAAAGCCCCGTCAGACAGGGGGAATTAAGGATGATAAATGTATTTAATCACATTATTAAAAATGGAACCAACCAAAATCCTTGTTGTTTTAAACCAGGAAGATGTTGAGCTGATTTTGTTTTTCCAGCATGCTGATGCTTATTGTTTTTGGAGCCCAGCATTAACCTTTTGGGGACTGCTCTGTGATACAGTCGAGTTCACTTGTGAGGTTCAGGAGAGAATTCTTATTGTTTTGATTTGTTTTCCCTTTCTTTCCCTTTCAACGCAGCAGCACGTCAGTCTCTGGCACAGTGTTCCCCTGCAGAAATCCCCTTGCCAAGAATGTTAAGTTGCTTGGAGAAGAAAAGCTCCTGAACAGTCTGGTGTAAACAAAAGACAGGGAAGGCTGGAGCCCATCCTAAATAAAGTTCTTGATTATGGGTGAGCTTTTCAAATTATTGGCACCAGGCAAAACTCTGCCTTTGTGTTTGTAATGTAAAACTGCCATCTCGTGTAGTCCAATTTGATTAAATTTGATTAAATATTTGCACTTCAAATAACAAAGTCCATCACAATACACTTCTGATCACCAGGGCTGGAATCCACCCAGCATCATCGTTAGGGATAGGGTGATGTGGGGGGCTGCGGGATGGCGGTTTCCCCCTTGTCCTGTCCTTACATCCCTTGTCCAAAGCCCCTCTCCAGGTTTCCTGGAGCCCCCTTAGGCCCTGGAGCTGCTCTAAGGTGTCCCCTTCAGGAGCCTTCTCTTCTCCAGCTGCCCCAGCCCAGCTCTCTCAGCCTGGCTCCAGAGCAGAGCTGCTCCAGCCCTCGCAGCAGCTCCGTGGCCTCCTCTGGCCTCCCTCCCGCAGCTCCACGTCCCTCTTGTGCTGTTGCCCCAGAGCTGAATTAGGGCTGCAGGTACTGACAAACCCCAGGCGTTGTTTGTCAACAGCTTTCTTGGAGCTCCTGAGGTTTGTTTTTAACACAGCTTCTTTTCAGTTTTGTTTTCCTGAAGAATATTCAAGACCAGGTTGCACAGAGCCTTGGGTGACATGGTCTAGTGTGAGGTGTCCCTGCCCGTGGCAGGGGGTTGGAACTGGATGATCTTAAGGCCCTTTCCAACCCAAACCATTCCATGGTTCTGTGGTGTCCTTATTTTCTCCCAGGAGCGAGGCTTGTTAGTTAATGGCATTCCCTGCTTTCTGAGACCTGAGCAGTGGATGTGTTAAAAGATGCTGTTAATTACAGAGCTGACACGACCAGCATTGAGATTGGTAAAAAGCAAACAATACAACTTTTTATCATGGTTTTCCTCTTGCTTACATAGAGGGTTCTGATTGCTTTGGCATTTCTATACATCCTGTGTAGGGCTGGACCATGTCATCACAGGCACTAGCTTTCCCACTTCCTCCTGTGTAAAGGTAGGGTAAAGATCCTTGTGTGTGTTGGGGCTTGAGAGCTCATCATGATTTCTGAGGAAAGCCACAGCATTTCAATCAGGTGTCTTGAAAATCAGGACTTGTTTTGCCAAGCTCAGCCCCTGCTAGGCTTGCCTGGCCAGCACACATTCAACTTGCTGCATGCAAGAGCTACAAGTGTTTCCCCATATCTGTACTTAAACCTGGCCCCAAAGTGGGAAGGAAACCCAGCTCATTTCTTCTGAAGGACTCTTCAAGGTCTTCACACCTTTCTCCTGACTGGTCTGTCAGCAGAGGTGGGATTTTGGACCAAGCTGATGTTATCAAAACCACGCTGTTGTTTCATTTTGTCCTTTTTGACTTCTGCTTCTCAAGCCTCTGGTGTTTGCCAAACACTGTGCACCAAAAAGACCTCCTGAATCTGTTTAAGAGCACTGGGTGGCTGGTTTTTGGTGTCTTTTTTCGGGGGCTGCTGCAGCCGTTGTCACTGTTCTGTGAAGCATTGCTGATGCTCCGTGTCCTGGCTTTCCCTTTACTCCAGTCTCACAGCTGAGTGCACTGGGGAGCTGAAGATCAGAAGGAACTTGATGGCCATGAAGATTTTAAGGAGGCAAAAAGATTCCTGTGGTCCCAAATATGTTTTCACTGCAGAGCTGTGGGATAGCATCTCAGGGTGTGAGTTTCCACTATTTCCAAAGCTAGACTGAGTTGAATGCCAGACTTGGAGCTTACAAAGACATCTTTGGAAACTCTGTGTCTCTGAATTTCCTGCCTAGATAGTAAATGAGTGTGAGTGTGTGTGGTATGGGCTTGGAGAGAAAGGACAAGGAGGAAGTGTCACAGGCCCCTCTTTCAGCTCCTTTTCTCTGGGGACCAGGGAAGAACCAGTATTCTACCTGAAAACCTCCCATCCCAGCAATGTCTTTTGCCTTCTGCACAAGTTGTGACGGCAGGAGAACTGGTTATAGGTCAAGTACGATGTCTTAGGGCTTGTGGTAAAGGGGAAAAAGCTGTCCTCAACCTTCCCAGCCCACACAGTTAAGAACTGGCAGGAAAGCTCCAAGGAGGAGTATTTAGCTCAGCATTGTCAGACCATGGCTTATGCACTTCTTTGCTGCAGTGACTTCCCTCAAGGATTAAAGGAATATAACAAAAAGGAAGCCCCTCCTTGTACCTTTGGGACCTACTGCAGAAGGAATCTGACAAATGCATTGCCTGTGCTGATGATGCCAGCAACCA